TTTTTGTTGATTAAATAAATGTTAAAGCTCCTGAGACTATTTGTTACACATTGCCAGGAGAGTTTCTTTACGTGGGCACCATGGACTTTCTGGCCAGGGCGATTCTGTCTTGTGAGGGCTGTCCCGTGCACTGTAGGATGTTCAGCAGCAGCGTTGGCTTCTACCCACCACATGCCAGTAGCACATCCTCAGTTGTGACAACCAAAAATGTCTTCAGATATTGCCAGATCTCTTCTGGGGTGCAACATCACCCTCAGATGAGCACCCCTGGTCTGTGGAGACAGGGTTTGGACCAGGATTCTACTGGGAAGGGAAGGTTTATAACATGAATGAAAGAAAAAGATTTTTAAATCTATGAGAATATACTGTATATGTGATACCAGTAAAAATGTTTCCTTCCTTGACATCCATTACAAACATCTACCTTCAGTTGCTACAAGTGTCTACTCAGGTGACAAGGAAGAGAGGTGTGGCTGCTGGCTGCCCAGGCTGCAGCGTTGCCATGAACAGCTTGCACTGCTACTTTAAGAAACAGTAACTGTAGGCCTGGTGCGGTGGCTCACGCCTGTAATCCGCCTGTAATCCTAGCACTTTGGGAGGCTGAGACGGTTGGATCACGAGGTCAGGAGACCGAGACCATCCTGGTCAATATGGTGAAACCCCGTCTCTACTAAAAATACAAAAAAAAAATAGCCAGGCGTAGTGGTGGGAGCCTGTAGTCCCAGCTACTCGGGAGACTGAGGCAGGAGAATGGCATGAACCCGGGAGGCGGAGCTTGCAGTGAGCCGAGTGCCACTGCACTCCAGCCTGGGCGACAGAGCGAGACTCCATCTCAAAAAAAAAAAAAAAAAAAATGAAACAGTAACCGTAGATGATACAGCTGCAGTTCAATTTTGAATCAGCAAGTCCAGTACAGACTGACCTGTTTACAGGGCAGATCGTTTAAAAATCTCGGGTTATTTGCTCTTCTGAAATTGATTCTGTGGATATGGCCCAATTTTGCTTGTTAAACAAGTATGAAGTTTAGGCATGAGGTTTAGGCACATTGGTGTTTTCCGGTGACTGTTGGAATCACATTTGACTCACAAAAGGACGCCTTGCCTTCTGCTGACCAGCCAAGTACTTACTCCCATTAGTACTTTCGACAATACTGTTTTATTACTTTGAAGCCTGAATATTCAGAAAGGTGCCCAGCAGCTGGGAAGAATCTTTAAGATCACAGAATCACCCTCCCCCTTGAAGAAATTTGGAAACTGAGTTTCTTTGGAGCCTAATATATCTCCTTTCTTTTTTTTTTTTTTTGAGATGGAGTTTTGCTCTTGTTGCCGAGGCTGGAGTTCAGTGGCACAATCTTGGCTCACTGCAACCTCCACCTCCCAGGTTCAAATGATTCTCCTGCCTCACACTCCTGAGTAGCTGGGATTACAGGCGTGCACCACCACGTCCAGCTATTTTTTGTATTTTTGGTAGAGATGGCGTTTCATCGTGTTGGCCAAGCTGATCTCAAATTCCTGACCTCAAGTGATCCAACTGCGTCAACCTCCCAGAGTGCAGGGATTACAGGCATGAACCACTGCGCCCAGCCCATATCTCCTTTCAAATCCCAGTACATCAGTATCATCAGGTGTTAGTCTGTTAAAATAGAGCTTTGTTGAGTATAATCCTTTTGGTTTTTGTGAAGATCTTCCCTACCCTGCTCCATTGGAAAGACTATTTTAATATTGTTTCTTCTCAGAATATTACCTGGATACAATCTTGTATTAAAAATGGTGTTCAGGCCTAGAGGTGATGGGTCACTCCTGTAATCCCAGTACTTTGGGAGGCTAAAGCAGTGGGATCACTTAAGGCCAAGAGTTTGAGACCAGCCTGGGCAACATAGTGAGACCCTCCCTCTACAAAAAAAATACAAAAATTAGCTGACTACAGGTGAGATGCACCTGTAGTCCCAGCTACTTGAGAGGCTGAAGCAGAAGGATCGCTTGAGCCCAGGAGGTCGAGAATGCAGTGAACTATGATTGTGCCACTGCACTCCAGCCTGGGCAACAGAGTGAGACCTTGTCCCATAAACAAACAAACAAAAAAAAATTGGGATTCAGCAAAAATGATGGCCTTGATGAAAACATACCAAAAGAGTCAATTGTAAAACTCCATTTAAAAAGGCAAGTGTATATATGGCTTGAATGGGCAGCTCAGCAGTGATGGGTGAAGAGCAGGAAATCACAGATGGGGCACCTGTCTTCAAATCACATGTTAGTGGCCGCGGACAAGTTCCCAAACCTCTCTAAGCACCAGCCTGCTCACCTGTAATGGTGATGAATAATGTCGACAGCTTCATAAATAGGATTGCAGGGATTCAGTGCTTCAACGGAGGTCAGAGGCTCAGCACGCTAGCAAAAATTCGGCACTTACATGTTAGTCATTGACACTGTTGTGTTACACTAATAAGCACTTCCTAGTTGTTATTTTATTCTAGAGTCCTTTTAGGGCCTCTGGAAATGTGATTTCTTCAAAAAACCTGGATAATGAAACTGAGGGGACCTATGTAACTTGGTACAATTATCTCCTGCACTGGAATACGAGTAAAAGACCAGACTGTGGAGACAGAGGCATTTAAAAAGAACCATATATAGTAAATTTTCATCAGTGATTTTTTTTTTTGGTCTAGGTTAAATGGTATTATCCTCACATTGTATTTGGTTAAAATTGCCATCATACTATATGAAGCAACATTCAAATTATACTCATTCTAAACCGTTTCAAATTGAAGTGAACTTTAAAAATTGGTTAAAATTTTTTTTTGAATATACAGTTTTTTGAATGAAAAAAATGCAAAGTATATTTCCTCCCTTTGGGCCCTAGAATCCCACCCCTCAACACACACAGAGGGAAGAAGGCCTGTGTATACTCTCCTGTGTGCTTTGGGGGATCCAGGAATGTGTTTACTGGGCATATGTAGTAGAGCAGTCAGTTAAAGGAGGAAGAGTCATATTTTAATGTTAAAATGATAGATTTTTCATGCTAACAGTCTATTCAGAAAATGTTAAGAGTTTAAAAAATTTTTTCCCCTCATTTAAAAAATAATTAAAGCTGAAAAAGACATAAAATCTATGTTAAATAGCCAACTTAATATCTATCCAAGTTGATACTTCAGTAACTACAGCCCAGTCAATCCATGTGGACTGATGTATTTCATCAGGGGCCCAGGCATGAACTGTCATTAGCAAGGTATTGATTGAGTACTTCATTCTTTGCCATACTCTTCGACATAGTTATTTTAGGCTTAAAGTCTGACAACAGCAAAATGTAGTCATGGTGTTTAATGTGGATTTGCTTTTATAAAACAATGTCCAGCAAATTGAGTTGTAAATTCAGTGCTTTACGGTAGATTTCTTTATAGGACCACACCTGCCCAGTGGAAGTCCCTTGTTTTCCCCCAAACTAGTCCGTGATTGTGCTTCCTTAGTGACCTTCTGATAAGGAAGCGGTATTCAGAATTGCATTTTTTGTTTTTTTCAGACAGAGCCTCACTCTGTCACCCAGGCTGGAGTGCAGTGGCCCAACCTCGGCGCACTGCGACCTCCACCTCCTGGGTTCAAGCGATTCTCGTGTCTCAGCCTCCCAAGTAGCTGGGACTGCAGGTGAGCATCACCACTCCTGGCTAATTTTTGTATTAATATTGTTAGTAGAGGTGGACTTTCACCATGTTGGCCTTGCTGGTCTCAACGCCTGTCCTCAAGTGATTTACCTGCCTCAGCCTCCCAAAGTACTTGGATTATAGTCATGAGCCACTGCGGCTGGCCATAAATGCATTTTTGATATTCAGGTTCAACTCTTAGGGAGCATTCACTGGTTCATAGGTCAAGGACTGTAGTCCTTGCTGTGCTTATCCCAACCCAGGCATGGGCCTTTGGCTTTACCTCCACCTCTGAGCTCATGTGAGTTTTGTCTCTAGTGTGCAGCGGTTTAGCAACTGTCCAGGAAGTACAACATACTGAGGGTCCTTGGGGGCAGTGTCTCTGGGGTCAATGTCTGGTAAAGAGCATTGCTTTTATAGATTCCAGATCCCAGTGGGTCAGCTGTGATTGAGGTACTTTATCCTCTCAGCAAGCTTCTTACTTCTCACCAACAACCAGATGTGGGCTTTCATGCATTATTTGTGTGATGAAACATAATCTTAGGCTGATATAATTGTACCCCAACATTTTTTAGCGTGAACTGCTAATTCAATGTAGAGAGAAAGAAAAGGTGGCAAGAATTGAGAGTCTTGAACTCCTAAGGTTTGATGGGACCGGTCATTTTACCGTCCCAGGCAACGGTGCTTGATAAAACCAGTTAAATTGCAGTGTTTCTGGTGACTAAACCTGTAGTATGTTGCCATCTAGTGGAACATACAGCAAACTAAAGATTAATGCAGTCTGACCATAAAGTTCCCCTGAGCTAATTAAATCAGCCAGAGAAAAGAACTGAAAGTATTTCCTAAAGGCAAGTGTTTTGGTAACATGCAAATTCATATGAAACCAGAGTTGACTTTTCTTAAAGTAGGCAAATGGTCACTCTGTTTCTCAAGAGTGCTTGCATACCACCCAGTTACTAACAAGTTTTCAAACATATCACCAGGCCAGGACACTGCATTTTCATTGTCATCAGTACAATATACAGTTTCTCTTCTAAAGTCCTGGAGAAAATGCTTGGTTATCAGTAGGTTATTTTGGTATGTTTTAAAATGTGATTTTAAGATGTCCATTCCCTTTCTTATTAATGCATACTTATCCTTTTTTTCTATTAAATTTCCAAGAATAAATCTGCTGATTTTTAGGAGAAGCAAACACATGACTTCACAAAGTAGGGATTTCACATTTTAAATTCTAACTAGCATCCCCAAAATGTCCAGTCCTGTGGTTTGAGACCTGATTTTTAGGAAGACCTGAAAGATTCTACTGTGGACTGTTTTTTGAGCACTGACTGCTTGTTTTGTCTTTGTCCTGCTCCTGCTTGCCTAGATCCCTCCCTGGTGCCACAGCAGCTGAGTGCGCATCAAATCTGAAGAAAATCTACACAGTACAGACAGTACAGGTAAGAGCAAGAGAGGGACTAACTGGATTAACACGGCACACATCGGACACTTAATCACCCACCTTGAAATCTGTTGCTGTGCTGGCAGCCCCTGTCCAGGGTTCTGCTCTGGAGTTGACTCTCGGCTCCGGGTTGGCACAACTGCCCTTGACCAAGTCCACCCCAGGGCCAGCTGAGCACACAGTCAGGTGGCCTGCTCTTCTCTTGGCCACCTACTGAACCTTTACTACCTAAACCTTTCATAGACCCACACAAAAGGCAGACTGCAGTGTGGTTAAGAGCAAAGGTTTTCAAGATCTTTATCTGTGTTCCTGTTCAAACTCCAGCTCTGCCACTGCCTCGCTGTGCCTCTGTTCCCCATCAGTGAGAGGCAGTGGCGCCTTCCCTGCAGGGTTATTAAAGGTTTAGAGGTCACATAGGGAGAGCAGGATAGTGTGGAGCATGAAGATGGAGAGTCTCTGCTTGGTTTCCTACTTCACTTTGCAGTTCCATCGTCCTAAATTAGGCATGGATCAACCCCTTTCATCTCTGTAAAATTGGTCTAATGGTAGCACCTACCTCCATGGGTTACTGTGAAGATTGAATAAGATTATGTTTATGCCATGCTTAGTGGAATACCTAATACGTAGCAGATTCTCAATGAGTGCAAGCTCTTAGTTCTATTAGTTCTTTCTCTATCTAACTCTGATGGTGGAGTTGGAAAAACACAACTGAAAAAACACAACTGGCCAGGCACAGTGGCTCACGCCTGAAATCCCAGGAGTTTGGGAGGCTGAGGTGGGAGGATTGCTTGAGCCTAGGAGTTCCAGAGCAGCCTGGGCAACATAGACCCCCATCTCTACAAATAATTTCCTTCAGAATTAACTGGGCATGGTGGCACACACCTGTGGTCCCAGCTGCTTGGGAGGCTGAGGCACAGTGATCACTTGAGCCCAGAATTTCAACACTGCAGTGAGCTATATTCACACCACTGCACTCCAGCCTGGGCAACAGAGCAAGACCTTGTCTCAAAAAAGAAAAAACCTGATTGATTTAATTGATCCCATTTCTATTTTCTTCAATAGCAGATTCTATCCAGTTTCTCCTATCTTCTAGTTTAATGGGTTGGTGCAGGTAGAATAAGGCTTTTGAGGCTGCTTCAGAGTTGCATTGACTGTATGTCCATGAATTTTCTAGAAGGGACAGATATTAAATAGCTTTCCTGTTGTATCCCTAAATCTTTTAATGTCTTAGAAATTCCAATAGATCAGCATCTAAATTGTGTCTCTTAGCAGCCTCTTACATGCAGAAGTAGCACAGAGATCCATTTTTTTTCAGGCTGTGGTCCCAGTATCTGGTTCAAACTGGTTCAAAAAAGTTGGCATGCATAATTACGAAGTCCCAGAAATCTGATTGTAAGGTGCTGTGTGTGGCTACCAAGGGCAGTGAGCCGGGTGTGAAGACACTGTCCTGACTGTGGGCCATTTCTGGTGTAGTTGGGGAAGTGACATAAACGTGTGGGAAGCAGAGCAGCAGTGCTGCTGTGCAGTGCCAAGTACAGACAGCACCACAAGGCAGCGCGAGGACCACTGTCCAGAGACATCAACGTGTTCAGAATCTGAGAGGCCTCCCTGCACGTCTCCTCTTCTGTGGATTTAGGGACTTCTGTGACCTTTTCCCAGCAGCCATTTTATAATCCTCAGAGCGCTTGATTTGAAGGCCTGTCCTCATGTAAAGGCTCTCAGAGTCTCATTAGACTTTTCCCAATCCACATGACATTAGATCATCAGGGCTATGTAAGAGATTCCAGGGCTGACCCTAGTCAGATGAGGGGATAGGCTTGGTTTTCCTGACCCTGCAGGATAACCCAGAGTATTTGGTAGAGCCCTTGAATCCACAGCATTTTAGGGTCTTCAGGGAGCAATTTAAAGCACCTGGGCAGGCACATACTAGGAAATACTTTCTTTAAAACTACTTTATTGAGATATAATTTGTATACAGTAAATGTAGATTTCTTAAGTATAACTTTTGACAAGGGTACGTATGTACAACCATCATGCAGATCAAGACAAAAAAAAATCCTTCCCATATACCAGAAAGTCTCTTTGTGCCCCTTCCAGCCTCCATCCCCCAAAGCAACCACTGTTCTCATTTCTACCACATTACATTCATTCTGTTATTGAACTTTATGTGAATGGAATCATGCAGTACCATATTATTGTGTCTGGTCCTTTGCACTCAATGAATATTGAAGAATTGAATGAATGAATGAGGCTGAGCATGGTGGCTTACGCCTGTAATCCCCACACTTTGGGAGGCTGAGGCGGGCGGATCACTTGAGTTCAGGAGTTCAAGACCAGCCTGAGCAATATGGTGAAACCCTGTCTCTACTAAAAATACAAAAATTAGCCTGGAGTGGTGACACACGCCCGTAGTCCCAGCTACTGGGGAGGCTGAGACAGGAGAATCGCTTTAACTCGGGAGGTGGAGGTTGCAGTGAGCTGAGATTGTACTGCCCTCCAGCCTGGGTGACAGAGTGAGACTCTGTCTCTTACATGTACACACTCTCAAAAAAAAAAAAAAAAAGAATGAATTAGAAGTTAATAAATGAACCACTTTCCTGTAAGGATTCTGTAGGCTGCACATTCTCAGCGGGGGCCAAAGTTGATTCTTGCAGAGGAAGTACATCAGTGAACAAATCTCGCTCTTTTTATGTGCAAAGCATAGATGTCCATGCAGTCCATAAACATATATGGTATCTCTGTGATATTAAAATTTTGTCATAGGTGATTAGGATAAAGGGCTCTTTTAGGGCCTAAGGGAGCAACAGTGAAAAAATGGCTGATAAACACTGCCTTAAGGATCAGGAAAGTCCTTTTTCTCTCAGCTGTCTGTGCTCCCTCGGTTTCTCATCTGTAAAACTGAGGTAATATTAGTGCCTACTCCCTAAGGTTGAGTGAAAGTTAGATAAGATAGGTATATAGTTCTTAGTAATGCTTGGCACTTAGCCCTCAGATGTGGCCGGCTTTTACTTAAGTGTTACTGGATTCTGTCCCTCAGCTCTATCAGTTACCTGGTTAGGGTAGTCACAGTGCCTTGGTTGATGTCTCATATGTGACGCTTACTAGCTTGGACAAGTTATATAACCTGTCTGAATCTCATTTTACTCATCTGTAAGATGGGAATAATTGTGATGGTAATTTTATCATGCTGTCATGAGACTTAAATGACACAATGACGTAAAAAGCCATAGTTAAGTACCCAATCATCTGCCATAATTTGTCTACTTCTACTGAGATATCTTTTTATGCTTTCTTCAGTCATATTTTATATCAGAAAACTATACACCACTGCTTCTAGATTATGTATTTCAAGTGATTATACTCTGGATTGCACCACCACTAACAGGTGTATGTGAAGATATTTAACTTATCAATAACTTTTGAGATTTCAGCCTGCGAGTGTCCTTAACATCTAATCAATTGTCCTTAGTATTTAAGAGCTGGCCAGGATATTATCTTGCAAGTCATTTGAGGATATGCTTTTGTCCCACTGTTTTTTAAATTTATTCTAGGATTGTATATTAATTATTTTTTCTTCAGAAGCAGGGTCTCACTCTGTCACCCAGGCAGGAGTGCAGTGGTGCAATCATAGCTCACAGCAGCCTCAAACTCCTGCTCTCAAGAGATCCTCCCACCCCATCCTCCTCCCAAGTATCTAGGACTACAGCCATGTGCTACCACACCCAGCTAAATTATGTTATTTTTTTGTAGAGATGGGGTCTTGCTATGTTGCTCAGTCTAGTCTCGAATTTCTGACCTCAAGCTGTGTTCCTTCCTTGACCTCTCAAAGTGCTGAGATTATTCTCACTCCATTAGCACTAAAAAAACCGCTTCTCCAATTATGTCTATATTTTCCTCCCACATGTGTTTAGATGAAAGGTAAAAATCATGTGATATTAATGATTGCCTTATTAAAGACATATGTGTCTTTTTACACTTTGAGGCCCTTTAGCAAATCAAAGTAGATGGGTTTGGGAGAGGAATTGTTACCCCATCTATTAGCTGAGGAGCCTGAGGCTGGAGATAAGTGGCCCAAACATTCAGTGGAAAGAGCCAGTCATGCCATGTCTCTAGGACTGGAACTCCCTCCACTTCCAGTTCAGTTCTCTTTCTTTTACTCCCCCTGATTGAGGAGTCGGGGAGGCTCAGCCTCCAAAGGACCTGGGAACCCCTGCTGAGGACACTTTGATCATACCCAACAATAATTCTCTCTGCCTGGAGTTAAATTCATTTCTACTTTCCTGCCTTTCTTGGAAAATTCCATTTTACATCTAGGCATGTTTTCCAGATGCTTATTGATTCTCTTACTCTTTTGTGAACCTGTCCAAATTTTCCACAGTTCTCACGTGGTTTTGCATCCTCAGGGGTTGCAGTGCAGAATAGAAAATGGCTTTTAGCCAGGTGCATTGGCTCATGCCTGTGATCCGAGCTACTCAGGAAGCTGAGGTGGGAGGATTGCGTGAGCCCAGGAGTTCGAGTTCAGCCTGGGCAACATGACAAGACCCACATCTCTAGAGGGAAAAAATAATAGAACACGGCTTTTGAACAAGCCTTATTTTACCTGTTGGAGAATGAAGAGCTACCTGCCAGATGTGATTTGCAAGAGAAGTCTCCCTTGTCCAGTTTATTTCGGCCTTACCTGCTATAAGACTAAAAATCCCACCCTTGAAAACTCATTCCTGTACAGCACTCTGTCTTGAACCTCAGTTATTTGAAGTTATCACCTTCAAGATTTTGCCACACTTAATCTCACTTGTATATTCTACCCGGTATTTCTTATAAATTGACTTCTCATTTAAATTTGCATAAAACAGAAACCATATTTCCTCTATAAGTGGAAATTCAGCATCGTTTATCATAAACAAAGTCTTCATAAAGGGTATATATAACCTATTGAAATTAAGAAAATGTTTCCCCTGCATATGCCAGACTTATCCTGTGTACTGTCGATAATATCAA